CCGCTGCGCGGCACGTGGGATCCTCCCGGACCGGGGCACGAACCTGCGTCCCCTGCATCGGCAGGCGGACTCTCAACCACTGTGCCACCAGGGAAGCCCGTAAATCCCATTTTTAATGTGAGTTTGCTGTAGGTACCTATCAGAGATGAAACCCAAGCTGACAATTCCTTTTGATGTGTATGAAAAGGGCAAATCTCTTTAAGTGAAAACCCAGCACACTAGCTTTCTTAATCTGAATTCCAGTGGAGTAAGAGGAAAACTCTTTAGAACAAATACTTCTGCGTGAGAAAATGTTCAGCATCTCAGATTTGTTTTATCATCTGAACGATAACCTCGAGCGTTCCTCTGAGCCGAATGTGGGTGTGATGCTTGGGCCAGACACACAGCTTTTCCTCTAATGTTTGCACCCAGGGTCTGCCAAACTTCCCCACCTATGCTGTCCCAGTGACACATGGGTCACCTGTCATCTGGCTCCACCATGCTGGGAGGTGACATATTGTATCATGCTTTCCTCTAGTGATTCTGATTGCCCTGCATTTCAGAAAGGACCCTCCTAACTTATCCTCCTGCCTTATCCTTTGAACCAGTGTCACTCTTTTTGTATGTGTGTGGGAGGGGCATCTGGTATGGACAATCAATTTGAATTTGATTGGAACATGCTAACGAGCCGTTCATATGGGGAGTAGGGGTTGTTTCTGATTAGATTAAGCTTCTGAGAGAGGAAAGAAACAGCCACTGATTAAAGACATAAAAAAGGAAACACATTAAATGAGTCAGTGGTTCATCTTCATATAGCAAAGTATAAATTAAACATATTCCTGGGGATCAGCTTTGAATAGCAGCTGGGTAGAGCGAGCTTTTCTGAATACATCCACAGGAGAAGGCACTTACAGCAATTCAGAGGGGCTTAACCCACCAGACAGGGCTCTGAGAACTCCTGAGTAAATGGATGGGCTGAGTTATCTGATAAAAATGACTCTCACACTAGGGACGGGAAGGGTTTTATTTGGATTTCAGAAAATTGTTCCCTGAGTCCCTGTGACATTCAAGCTCATTATTATTCTCTACAGCAATAGTGATGGTAATGGAGCCAGAGATCTTAGTTCAAAACAAAAGAAGCAATTAGAGTAGAGAGCACACGTGTCAATGGGACCCTGATTTGGAACGTGGCCAATACTTCTGTCTCAGAGCTTGGGGCTTCTGTAGTTTTGGTTCTATAGAAACGCCTGGGCTGGAACTAGCCTTCTCGGCTTCATGCACGGGGAAGCTGTGAGGGTCAGCCCTGCTAGACTGTGTCACCTGACCAGGGCTGGCTGTGTGGCTGCAGCCCCGCCTCCCGCTGGCTCACACTAGGATCTGTGGAGCTGCCATGGGGCTGCTACCTGTGGCTGTCAGAGGAGCCCTGAGTCATGCGTGGTCTCCAAGCCCCTGGCTTCTCCTCTTCCAGCCTGCTGGCTTCTCCCTTGGTTTTCTGACTGCTGCTCTGGTTCTGAACTGGAACAAGACTCTCCCCTACAGCCTGTTTTGCGGGAGTCCTAATACCTGCCTACCCCTGGCAGCTCCCTCTCTCCCCCACTGGGGACTAAATCTCCTCTCTGTATCTTCAGTCCCTAGTGGGGACCTGCTCTGAATGGACTCATCCTCTGGACCTGGACGGTCTCTCCCCATGCCTGGAAACTTCTGCTGCAAAGTCTCCCCCAATAGATTGAACCCCTTGTTATCCATGCTGCAGGGCCCAAGCCTCTCTGGTCACTTTGCCTCTCCACATGCCGGCCGCTTGTATGAATCAGGGAAATGTTCACAGTCTGCAACAGCAGCCCCCAAACCCCAAAGGCTGAACCCAGGACAAGTTTATTTCTCACTCACTTCACAGTCCTCTAAATGTTGGGGGGCTCTCCTGGCCAGCTCTTCTCCAAGTGGTAACTGAGGACTCAGGTTGCTTGGGGGTTCCCCGTCTTTGAACTTCAAGGTCATCTTGGCGTAAACATCCAGCGGATTGGGAGGAGAAGCGGTAGAAGTGTTCCTGGGTTTCCCACACAGGATACTTACCCACCTGGGCCTGAAAGTGACAGCTGTAATTTCCTCTCTTATTTCATTGGCCTGAGCTGCTCACACAATCCCTCCCGACTTCAAAGAAGGCTGGGAGATATAGAGGAACACACAGATATGTGTTAGGAGTCAGCCACATCCTTGGAGACCACCCTTCTCCTGGCTTCACTTCCCCAGCCCCAGGTAGGACCAGGCCTGTCTTCTTCCTTTTCTTCCATTCTGTCTTGAGTCCACCCTAACCTGCATTTGGACAATAGTAATCAGGGCTCTTGGCTGCTATGAGTTTTAAGGTAACCATGTATAAGTTCACCTTGTTTGGAACCACTGAAAGAGGGCTTCTAATCTCAATCACCACGTGTTTGCTAAGTGATCCTCCTGGAATTTCCCATAAGGAAATGAACTTTCATGGTCCCAATCTTTAGAGTCAGAGCATTAGGGTCCAAGGAAAGCCGGGGCCCCTGTCTGTGATGGGCTGGTTTGCTGAGCTTGGCACCATGGCTGCCCCTGGGTTTCCTATAGGTAAACAGCTATTTCAGCAAATCTCAAGTCCCTGCAGAACAGCCTTTTAACTTTTTCTTCATGAAAAGTTTCCAGACATTCCAGCACAGCTGGTCTCTTCTTGGATTCCTCCCAGATGAATCCTCCTGCTGCCTCCTGATAGTTATGAAGGATCCCTTTCAAACAGGGAAACTGCTTCAGGGGCTTCTTATGGCTGACCCAAAATCAGACCCCTTCAGGGACATCTTCCAAGAAAAAGCATCCTTTTTTTTTTTTCCCGAGCAGGAATTCTGTCCAAAAGACCTTTCGGCAGTGTTTTATTGTAAGAATAGGGCTTGGGAAACTGGATCCCCAGGAGGTATTTTTCTGTGGAGTCTGATGGAAGAATAAACATTGTCAGACTTTAAAAAATGTTTCCTTACACTTGAAAAGAATGAAATGTCTGCCTTTGGAAACCTGGGAGAGCACCGAGGAAAGTGCACAGGGGGATGACTCAGAACTAAGGCTCAACTCTCAATCCTTCATTCATGCAACTTATCGAGTATCTATCATGTGCCAGGCCCTGTTTAGGCTCTTGAGATTCCTTAAGAAGAGCAAGGTGGCCATGGGTCTTCTCTCACAGGCTGGTGTTTTGGGCCCATCAATAGGAAAAAATGCTCCATCTCACTGGTACTGAGGGAAATGCAAATTAAAGCTACAGTGAGAGTGAATTTCACCCCCATCTAGGAACGATGCCAAATGTTGGCAAGATTGTAAAGCAACATGAGTGCTCCTCTGTTCTGGTGGGACTGGAACATGGGATTCTCACTTTGGAAGAGTTTCACTATCCCTGGGAGAGTTGAACGTGTGTTCTAACCTGTGGCTCAGAAATTCCACTATGTGCGGATACACAGAGAGGTGCTCTCTCTTGGGTGCCAAGAGACATGTATAAGAATATTCGAAGGAGCTCTGTTCATAATCCTGAAAACAACCAGACTGTGGACCACCAGGAGAATGCATAAATAAATGTCTGTACATTTATACGATGGAGCACAATGGTGATGAAAATAAATGAAGCAAGAAGCAAGTTGAAGAATGCAGAAAATACACTTCCATTTATACAGCATTTAAAACCAGGTAAAACTAAGTACATAATTGAGCTTGATGGCAAGGAAACTATTAACAAGATTCAGGATAATGGGTTACCTTTGTGGGTAAGGAGCAGCACACAGAGATTTCTAAGTTGCTGCCAATACTGTTTCTTAAATGGGCGGTAGGTAAACAGTTGTCCCTTGTGTTATGTGTCTTTAAACTGTACATATACAAGGTACACAGGCACACAGCTGGAGGAGGTATGGGTGACACGGGAATGCAGAGCAGAGGCATTTACCAAATTCAGGGCAGACAAAGTAGGTAGGAATTAGCCAGGCAAATAAATATATGTGATAGGGGGAAGAGGCTGACAGCCTCTGGCTTTTGACTTAGCTTTGCCCAGGTTTGACCTCTCTTTCCTTCTCATTCCCGTGCACGCTGCTACTAGAGTGAGACGCATGTGGTGTCTAGGTGATGCCCTAGTCAGTGTCTTTGTTTGCCTGCATTTCTGACCCTACAGCCACTCTGCAAACACGTTGCTGGTCTTCTGCCAGCCATTCTCAGGCCTCAGCCTCCATCTTCCTTGTCTTCCTCCCCCCAGCCTGCCTGGGTTGGCTTTTGACTCTTGTCTCAGCATTTCACAGCCAAGTTAGGCGAGACAGCTACACATAAAAAGGTAATTAACAAGATGAGCCAAGAAATAAGGACCACTTGAGTGGTGCGAATCATGTTTCAGGACTTTGGAGGAACAGGGCCAGGCTGGCTTTGGATGGATGGAGAGCAGGAAGGAGGATGTCTGGGCTAAGGGAACAGTGGCAAGATTTTGCCAAGAGAGAAGAGCTCATTAAATGTCATAAGGAGATAAAAGCTGGGCAGGATTTGGGATCTTATCCTGTGGACTGTGCTTATGAAGTACAAGACTAAGGTGCCACCGCCCCCCAATCACTTACCCTCGGTAGATATTACTAATAAATGGTGGCATGCTTTTCCACTGAGCCCAGACAGAGCCTCAGAATCCTTCTTAACCCCGTGCTTCAGAAGGACATTAACCAGTGAACGGATTTAACATGGGAGTGTTATCTGCTATTCCTACCAAAGACTACAGAGTGATCACCAGACTCTGAGTAGGAGAAATGGTCACACTGTATCCTGATGTCTTGCCTCCAGTGTCTCCCTATTTTATAACTCCCAATTCACAACTCTACTGGTTGTCTCAGATACCGGGTAATATTTGAGGTATTGGCAAGAACACTTAGAACCACAGAATGCAAAAAG